CAAAGCACAGAGTTGCAGCCTTTGATGTAATCGGACTTTTCTGTGTTGCCAGATGCTCTCTAGGCGCCGCTGATGATGCAAGACTTCATGTACAACATCCAAGACCTGGTGGACAGCCTTGGAATAATTAGCAGTAGCAGTGAGGGATTCAGAGTTTCCAGGGCTCAAGGGCCGCTGCAGAACATCCAGCAAAGCCTTCCCAAAGCACAGAGTTGCAGCCTTTGATGTAATCGGACTTTTCTGTGTTGCCAGATGCTCTCTAGGCGCCGCTGATGATGCAAGACTTCATGTACAACATCCAAGACCTGGTGGACAGCCTTGGAATAATTAGCAGTAGCAGTGAGGGATTCAGAGTTTCCAGGGCTCAAGGGCCGCTGCAGAACATCCAGCAAAGCCTTCCCATCCTGGCTCACCTGAAAGAAAAAGATTGAATCTTGAGGGGGACAACTTCATTGTGCTGATAACATTTTCTTTAACATCTGACAGCTGGCAATAAGAATAGACTCATCCTCGCAGTTCTTCCCCGCGCCACCCCAATAAAGGGCTCGTGTTTCTGTTAAAGGGAAAAACAGGAAATCTTGAGCAATTTGCTTTTGCTTTTTACTTGCATATTTATCACCTGCTTCAGTTTCACTTGGACCTACTTTGCTTCTCAGTGGGACTGCAAATACTGAGGTGAAAGGGCCATATAATTCCACAGATACCTAGCCATAGATATTGAACTCTGCATGTTTTACTGATATTTGAACACTGAAAATTAATTGACAAATAATGGTGTGTTATGAGTGATATTTGGAGGCAGAAGACATATAGACTCATTTTGGTGAGGAGGTGGCATTTTCAGAAATACACAGATGACTAAAACATTCAGTTGTATGATAAGAGTCATTTCTTTGTAAGCTTATGATGTATGAATGCAAATTCCAAAAGGTGAAATTCATGCTCTGCTTCATTCAGTAAGAGAAAATAAATTAGTAAATGATAGTACAAATCTTCTCCAAGGTGTCTTATTCCTCAGCAATATTTCAGAGAAAAATACAGACCTACTTTTTCAATGGGCCTGAGAAACATGCCTATCAATGTTGCAAATGAAATAATGTACATATGAAACCCTGCATTTACACAGGCAAAGAATGCATCCAAATTATATTTCTTGTGCATTTCGTGGGACTCGGTGAAATTTTCAACAATAAAATGCAAAATGTAAATGAACTATTACTATCTTCCTTTAACAAATGAGAGTAAAGGGATTTGAGAAGTACATGGATTGTCTATGTATCAGTTAATAATAATATGGTATCAGTTAATAATAATAAAAAACTATACAAGTACTAAATAAAGATGTGCACGAATACAAATTCAGTTTTATAAAGGATTTTGTGATTTTGAAATGCACTTTCATTCCCAAAGGAACAAAGCCTGGCTATTTCAAAACTCTGTCTTTGCACATGCAGTCCCCTAAGATGCCAGGCCACTTAGCTTCACTTTGCCAATGATTCTCACTCTCTTCAAACTAGATCTCAGGGGACAGTGCCCTATGTACTAGCCATGAGTGTTGAAGAAGGCCCTGCTTGATTCAACTGCCCTACAAGAGTTCTCTCCAGGAGCTATGATCAATGTGGACATTCAGTAAGTCAAATAAGATTAATCTCAACTGCTGGCAGGGGTACTGGAACAATCTCTGTCGTATGGAATGCTAAGAGCCATGAAACCAAATTGTAAACCCTGTATATGATGGAAATCACTTCAAGCCAGTGAATTCTGCAGCACTTCCTGCACCTCTAGTTCTAGCACCTATGACAGTAGGAACACAACGTACACAACTGTCTATTGCATCGGTGTTATCTAAAGTTTAGGTTAATCTAGCTTACCCCAGTATTCAACCCTCTGAGTCTGAAAAGAGTCTGCTCTGCTATAGTCTCCCCCAGATCTTCAGATTTGTATCCACTTCAAAGGCCTTTGTTTCAGCTACCCACCTGAAGATCCCTTGAGGTTACAATCTGGCCCTTTGCCTAGTTGGACCAGACAGATATTTCATTCCCGTAAGGCCAGAGCTAAACTTCAAAGGGAATGATGCCTGCATTTTCCCATTATCAGCTTTTTCCTGCTTTCCTGCCTACCTACCTTCTACTGCTACCGGAGTTAACTTGGTACTTATAAATAAACAATAATAGTCAAACAGAGGTACACATAATATTCATAAAATGTTATCTGGAGTCCTTCCAAGTCCTTCACACTTTCTATGACTCCATGACCTTTATTCGGTTCAAAAGTTCCTTTCCAAAAGTGTTTCTTTTATGAATGTTATACCATCCCCCAACCAATGGACATGAAAGATCTGTGTACTGAAAAGTTTGCTAATGAATGGATTTGAAAAGATAAATGAATAGTTTCACCAGACTGGGGAGCTAGTTACACTGCTTTTTCAATCACTTTCAGTGTTCTCCTCAGAATTGAAAAATAAGTCATTGAATTTCCTTTCATGTGAATGCTTTGCATTTTTCACAGATTGTTCAAGGACGGAAGCATTAATATTCCTGCTTAGCAGGTCACATCACAATTTTAAAAAGCCAATCTATGAGAAATAAAGTTGAGCAACTCACCTAGTGCAGAAAAACAACAAGGTGCCTATGCACTATTTGCATTCCACTTATACCCTATTTTGAAGAATTAAATGCACAGGCCTCATGATGTGCCTATGCCAGGGAAGAATCTCATCCCCTGTGACTTATATATGAGAACTATATATATGAATATATGAAGAAGTTAGTTTGATTCATGTTTCCTTCTTGTTTGCATTGAAAATTACAGCCTGGCAGCAAGACTCTCTAGCTAGATGTTACAGTGAACTTTTTATACGGCTAGAAATGAATTTTAATTTCCAAATACCCTACTAGCTGGGTGTAAAGTGAAGTCAAAGTGAGGCTTCCCATTATCTCTAATGAGCACTGTATGATGCTTTTGGTGAGCATCTCCAAAAAGCTTCATCAAATTTTTAGCAGAAACTTTCAGCAACATAATATAATCTGCATTGATGAAGGAAGGAGTCAAAGTAGAAGTCAAAGGAGTTCTGACTCCCGAGCACTCTCCATTGCATGATACGTCTCTCTAATTGCAGTTTACATGAGTAGAGATTTGCACCCATTCTGAAGAAAGGGAAAGGATAACTCATGCCACAATTCTCATACCACTGCTGACAGTTCAGCACTCTGACTTTCCAGTCAAGGAGGAAGAAGGGACAACACTATAATATCTTGACTACCTAGAGGAATAAGCCCATGGATGGAAGGCTGGACACCTGAACTATAAAACAAGCTTTTCAACTTGCCAGTAGGCCTTGAGAAATTGATGAACATATTCAGAGGTAACATACTCAACTTCAATTCTCTCTTTAAATCATTCTAATAAATCTATTGGGAATGTAAAATTTAAATGATCTAAAGAACTATCTTACTATATATTTTAGAAATGTGCGTGTCTGTCTGTCCATCTGTGAATGTGTTTGTTCAAGAACTCCTCCTCAATGGTAAGAGCTAGGACCACCAAATTTGGTATGCAGCTTCCTCTTTATAATTTAAAGCAAGGTTATGGTTTGGTTATGCCTGGAAATCGATTGTTTCTCATAAAATGAAAAGGTAATAATCTGGTAGAAGGGACAGTTATACCACAGAATAACCACAGAGGGCAGCAAGGGTACAGCTACATAGCAGCATTACTTCGGAATAAGTGAAATTATTCTAACATAACAAAGAGTGTGTCTACGCTGCGAGCCATTATTTCAAAATAAAGGTGAGCTGGAGAACATCTTACTCTAACTCCTGTAACCCTCATTTTATGAGGAGTAAGGAAAGTCAAAGTCAGGAGGGATAGCTCAGTGATTTGTGCATTGGCCTGCTAAACCCAGCGTTGTGAGTTCAATCCTTGCAGAGGCCATTTAGGGATTTGGGGCAAAAATTTGTCAGGGATGGTATTTGGTCCTGCTGTGAAAACAGAAACCCACTATCATGTCCCCTCTCAGTCTTCTCTTTTCTAAACTAAACAAGCTCAGTTCTTTCAGTCTTCTCTCATAGCTCCTGTTTTCTAGACCTTTAATCATTTGTGTTGCTTTTCTCTGGACCTTCTCCAATTTCTCCACATCTTTCTTGAAATGTGGTGTCCAGAACTGGACACAATACTCCAACTGAGGCCTAATCAACACAGAGAGCGGAAGAATGACTTCTCATGTGTTGCTCTCAACATTCCTGTTAATGCATCCCAGAATCATGTTTTCTTTTTTTGCAACAATGTCACACTGTTGACTCATGTTTAACTTGTCATCCATTATGACCCCATATCCCTTTCAGCAGTACTCCTTCCTAGACAATCACTTCCCATTCTGTATGTATGAAACTGATTGTTTTTTCCTAAGTGGAGTACTTTGCATTTGTCCTTATTAAACTTCATCTTATGTACCTCAGACCATTTCTCTAGTTTGTCCAGATCATTTTGAATTTTGACCCTATCCTCCAAAGCACTTGTAACACTTCCCAGCTTGGTATCATCTGCAAACTTAATAATCGTACTCTCTATGCCATCATCTAAATCATTGATGAAGATATTGAACAGAGCCAGCCCCAAAACAGACCCCTGCAGAACCCCACTTGTTATGCCCTTCCAGCACGACTGTGAACTGTTAATAACTACTCTCTGAGAACGGTTATCCAGCCAGTTATGCACCCACCTTATAGTAGCCCCAACTAGGTTGTATTTCCCTAGTTTATGGATAAGAAGAACATGTGAAAGTCTTAGTATTACACAACAACGGCTTCTCCTTTTTCCACAAGAGTTGATATCCCATTAAAGAAAGCTATCAGATTGGATTGACATGATTTGTTCTTTACACATCCATGCTGTTACCTATCACCTTATTTTCTTCCAGATGTTTGCAGATGAATTCCTTAATTACTTGCTCCATTATCTTCCCTGGCACAGAGGTTAAACTGATCGGTCTGTAGTTTCCTGGGTTGTTCTTATTTCCCTTTTTATAGATGGGCACTATATTTGCCCTTTTCCAATCTTCTCGAATCTCTCCTGACTTCCATGTTTTTTCAAAGATGATAGCTAGAGACTTAGATACCTCCTCTATCAGCTCCCTGAGTAGTCTAGGATGCATTTCATCAGGCCCTGGTGACTTGCAGACTTCTAACTTTTCTAAGTAATTTTTAACTTGTTCTTTTATTTTAAGTTTTATTTAACACTTCCTGCTGTGTAGACAGCGCCAAAAGACGAAATAAGCTATTTTGACTTAAGCTACACAATTAACGTAGCTCAAGTTGCAGAGCTTAATTCCACTTTAGCCCTGCTGTGGAGATGTGCCCCAAGGGGCCAGAGATGGGGACTGGGACAGCTATAACCTCATTGGCCCAGCAGGAGGCATGGGTGGAGAAAGGGACAGCTACCTTCTATGTTTCAGAAAGTTTGTGTGTCTGTCTGTTCCCCAGCTGTGGGACATGCACCCCTCCCCTGGCTGTGCCAGCTGTAGCTGCAGTGGCCATGGACAGGCACTTCTCAACTAGTTCCAAGCAGCTCCAGTGAGTAAAGCCTGGGGCAGTCCTCTCTTCCTGAGGCAGCCTGCAGGCTGACCCCTCATTCTTAGCCTCACCCCAGCACAATGATTTAAATGAACAACAAATACCCTTATTTGAGTTCAAGACCTGAGCAATACAGGGTAAATCATCTTGTATGTTTAAAAAGTCACAACGACCCTGGAAGAAGCTACAGCAAAAATGATACTCATTTTGAAAAGCTGTATTTAATAAGCATACATATTGGAAGGGTTAAGGTCTGCAGGCTGATGGGGAAAATGTTTTTAAAATTCATTTGACTTAAGATTTTATTTTTAAAAAGGAAACCTACTCAAAATTTAGTTTAAAAACAATATTAAGGTACCACTGAATAGACAAAGCCCACAATAATCATAATAGTTGCAAGAAGGCATGCACACACGCATGCACACTCTTATTGATCTGTGGAGAGCATTAGAAAAGGGAGGTCAAAGAAATATGCCTTGCACTTGAAGTGGGAAGCAGTGGGGTTTGTGTTGCGACAGTCCTCATTTCCTAGGGACATTCATGCCACAGTCTTGGACAGCCCCCAGAGAATTTTCTGTCTTCTGCTCAAAAAAGCATTATTCTTATTGCTGAGAGTTTCGCTTTGCCAGAGAAGTGAAGATGTCAATGACATCTTCATTCCAGAGTTTTAGGTGGTCTTTAAGATATCCTGACTCCAGATCATGCAGCACTTTAAAGATAAGCACTGAGACTTTTGACTTGATTCTGTAGTCTTTGGGAAGGAAGTGGAGGCGATATGCTGTGAATCATGGGAGGCAAGTGATTAACAACAAATCTGTAGTATCAAATCCTGTTCCCTGGTACTACATTGTAAATACCAAGGCACAGCAGGATGAATTTGGAAGTGAGCTTTAGCCTTTATTCTGAAGTCTTTACTTGAAAGTTATTTATGTTAACACAGATTTGTGGGGCTGAATATCAAAGAAGAAAATAACAGGGGCATATCATGTAAGATGTAGCAGGAGGGTTTTTTTTTAAAGGAACCTTTTAAGTATACATTATACAAAGAGACTAATATACACACTTTCTTATTTTGTTGATATTTAATTGAATTTTTTTGTCTGGTACATAAAAGGAAAGAAACTCTTTCTAAATATCCAGAAGCGCTTAGTCCTTCATAATGTATATGATGGAAAAAGTAAGGAGGGTGAGCTAGATCCACTCCCTGCTGATGTACAGGCAGATTCCACCTGCCTGTTCCAGTGAAGGGCACTCAGGCTGCAGGGCCACTATCCACTATCATCCCCGTCCTGGAAGCTCTGGGGATTGTAGAGCTGGCAGAGGCTAGGGGGGAGTTGAATCAGTGCATCATTCAGCTGTCTTGGCTACACCACCTTTCTGGTCTTCACAGGTCACATTTTAACCTACATTGTTCAATGGAGAAGTATTTGACCTCCAAACAGATTTTCTTGATGGTCCAATAAATATTATTACCGTTACTGTAATATTTCAATAGTCAGTTTGGGAGAGGCTTTTGCAAACTTGAAAGGAACAAGGTCCATCCCTTTTTGCTCAAAAGAATAGTCAAGGGCAATACCAAATCTATAGTATCTGAGTGTAG